TTTCCAGAAAATCAAAAATATATTTTGCTGCGAGGGTTGCTTTGTTAACAGACAAACTCTGCATATATTATGAACACTCGATACAGTAACACTAACCGGCTCAGATTTCGGTTTACGATTTTCGGTTACCAATTATCGAAATTTGATTTGATATTTTCCCGGTTCATGGTTTTGGTATTATTAGGATTCGGTTCTATTAGTTTGACCGAAATTTTGTCCTAATAACAGATAAACAACAAACCGGATTTCTGTTTTATCGTGGTGTATATGTGTAAAACCCGGTTTGAACTCGTTCTCTAACCGGGAACTAAATCCCAAATCGTACTGCCGGTTCAAAGACAGATGGTTTATGGCTTCGGTTATGTTCAATTAGTTTGGTTGGGAAATTCATAAAACCGATGCGGTGTGGTGGTTTGTGTATAAACCCGGTTTGGGTATTTATAAGATTTGATCATGATTCTGTAGAAACATGAAAAATCTTTTGGATTTTACAGTATATATAAACAAATCTGAGAAATCTTTCTGAATCTTTTGTTTGATTCCATCATTCATTACAAAAAAATCGGACATTTACATTGAAATTTCTATCTTATGGATCAAATCTTTCACGAAGAAAGATGAAAACATTTGTCATCTATCTAAGGTAAAAAAAAGAATGTTAAAAGAAGAATTTTCTTGAGATGATGATGATGATCATCCTTGGATCCGAGAAGTTACAGTAAGGAATGTATCTTCAGGACAAGGGATGGTCAAGCCGCCCATCGGATGATCAAATCCGAACTCTTCTTCGGCTTTAGTTAGAAGAGATTGAAACAAAGGCTGGTTCAAGTATGAGACTGGTACTAAGTATCTCTGCTTCTTCTTCAGGTTCTCACCGACGTACACTGCAAGAAACCCTTTTGGTGCTGAAGTTGCTTTGTAAGTTTCTGCTATAGAGCCACCAAGGATCTTCTTTGCAGCCATGAAACCTCTTACAAAAGACATTTTTTTGTTTTTTGAAATGGAATTCTTGATTTTCGAAGTTCAAGTTCTTGGATTGCTTCTTGTTGTTGATGTTGATTCTGTTTTTGAGTCGGTATATATATAGATCTATGAAGGGTTTCGTGGGACATAGATGAATAGAGTTTTCACATGGTTATGTTTTCTCAGATGCTAAATCTGTAAAAGAAAAAAAGAGATGTATATTGGCATATGCTCTTGTTTTTTTCATGTTTTCACAAGAAATCTCTCTGGTTGAAATGGATTTCTCATTACAAAATCTTTTCTATAAGAACAAATTTATGTAGGGACATGAAGTTGTTCACCAGCAGAACAAAAAGTATCTGTCACTAATTTAGTTGTTGTCAACCATATCCAGAAATATGATCACATGACAATGCTATAAAGAAATTTCTTGTGGCTAAAGTTTTTATTTATTTATTTCACTTTGTGGTGATGATATGATGATGAACACAATCATAACGTATCAATGGAGGGTCCCAACTGTCACTGTTGAAGACAAAGTCATATGGTTGATTTGATGAGAGAAACAAAGTCAGTTCACATCATTAAGGGCACAATTAAAGCTTTTTTTGTCTTCATTACAAAACAGAGTAATTAAAATAGACACACACAAGTAAAAGAAAAAGTTATTTTGCGTTGGAGAGAGTCAGAGGGAGACATAAAACGAGATTTGTTGTTCGATATTCGTTCTTAAGCATGATTCAGTTTCAAGATTTGATGCAATAAGTTTCAAAAGAAAAAGATTTGATGCAACGAAGAAATCTTCTAAGACTTTTTTTACAATCTATTCGTTGAGTGATCTTTAAGCAAAAGGATTTTCTGCGACTTGTATTGATTTATCTCTGCTATACAAAATTGGGATTTACATTGAAATATTCTGAAACAAACTCTTCCAATAAGAAAGGAGGAGAAAAAATGTCATATACATATTCACATTGTAACTCTGCCTCTCTAGTTTGAGAAGAAAAAACAAATGTTAAATGTCTTTTTGTTGGATCATCTTCATCTTTGTAGCTTAGAAGTTATACTGATAAAAGTATCTTCATGGCACGGGATCGTCAAGCCGCCCATCGGATGATTAAACCCGAACTCTTCTTCGGCTTTACTAAGAAGAGCCTGAAAGGAAGGCTGGCTCAAGTATGAGACTGGCACAATATATCTCTGCTTGTTCTGACTCTCACCAACGTACACCGCAAGAAACCCTTTTGGTGCTGAAGTTGCTTTCCCGGTTCCTACTAAAGAACCACCAAGAATCTTCTTTGCACTGAAGATACTTCTCACCAAAGCCATTTTCTTGTTTGGAAGTTTGAGACTTGAAACTCTTGAAAGATGTATGAGATCAAAAGAAGGACTAAGGAGATTCAAGCTCTTGATTGCTTGTGGTTGATGATACTGAATTCTGATTTTAGCCTGTATATATAGATCAAATGAATGAGTTGAAACAATGATTAACAAGTGTGGGGCATAGATGAAACAAAATCATCACATGGCTCTGTTTTTGCCTGATGCTAATCTAGATATAAATATGATAGATGACAAAGTAGGGCACAAAGGTTTGTTTTCATTAAGAAACTTTAGTGGGGACCTTAAGTTGTTCACCAAGAGAACAAGAAATCTCTGACACACAATCATGTTTTTATACGTCCAACTACAAGATCGCATGTAAAGGCCATAGAAGATGCTTAAAATTTATATGTAACAGCCATGTGGATCTGTCTGCAGAAACTTCAACTACTTCATCAATCATAGACTCAGAATAATCACTTAGACAAAAAATGTGCTAATTCATATTAATGTTACGTTAATATCTTGTCTTCTATGAGCCAAAGAAGTCTTAGGGTTTTTCAGACCTAACATGTCTATGTTCGACCACTATTTTTAGTCAAAAGTGTATTAATTTTTCCCTGTTCAGTGGATTTAGTCTCATGTATTTGTATTTTAAGAATTGGATTTTGTAGGAATAAAACAATTTTAATAGAATTTTTAGTGATTTTCTTTTTATATCTTGATAAAATATTTGACTAAGTTAATACATTTTCTCCGGCCGTTCTATAAAAACGGTTCCACAATTGCTCAGATGACATATCTTACAACATCTAAAAAACAATGAAGTCTGTTTTCGTTATTTTCTTAGCTGTTACATTCGGTAAATTTCATATTTTACATGTAAAATAATAAGAAATCGTCTAGATGCAAATTTATATTTATAACAACATATTGGTTTTGTTTTGTAGTGATGAGTGTCGTAATAATTCGAGATGTTGAAGCAAAACGTTCATTATCTGAAGAAACTTCACCTATTGTGTTGCATCGTGCAGCTTCGTCTGAAAGTGTGGAACCACAACGTCTTCACTGCGTGAAACCCTGTAGGGTGCAATGTATTCCCCTTCCTGATCCATTTGTTATCGAATGTTTGTGTATATGCTAGGATTTTTAATATCATCAGTGTGTAATCGAACAAATAAAACATGTATTCAATGATTAGCAAACTTATTTAATATATATGTTGTTTACATTAATCTTACATCTTGAAAATTGTATGGAGAAAACTCCCACATATGTCTAAGAAACAAAATATCTATATATAAGACATTTAAAGATTATTGGGTATTTATTTATTCAAAAATACTTTTGGTTTTAATCAAAAGTATTAAAAATGAAAACCAATTATATTCCCTATTAGATTTTTTATTATTTATTAAAACTTTCCAGTGATTTTGTTAAAGTTTCCGATATTCAAAAATTGTTATTCAACATTGTTAGAATTTTTGTTGTTGTTGTTTCATACTTAGTTGATATAAAAAATTTCGGTCATAGAAGAA